AAAAGAAATTGAGGACACCAAATCTTCAATTTCTTTTTCTGCAGCCTCGGCACTCAATGAATGGGAAGCCCTCAGTACTGAGGCTTCCCATTCAAATATTTACTATCAATAGTTTCTGAATGGGGAGGAGCCTCTGTACTGACCTCTCCATTGAGGAAATCTTGAATGAACAGGCTTGGTGGTCGCGGCAGAGGATTTAAGTGTAGGGTGGATGGGGGTGTTAGAGATGTGCTGGGTCTTTTTACCTTAATGCGGGGAATGTATTAAGGTAAAAACACCCAGCCTTTAGTACTACTTTTACAAATAAAAACTAGTTTTGGGCCAATTTTATTTTAATCCTGTTAGGGCTTGTTCACACCAAGCGCGTTCCAGGAGCAGAGCAGTTACAGACCGGATCAAAACTGCGTCCAATGTATTCCAATGGTATTTTGGGCTCTAGTTCACACCGCAGCGTTCAGTTCCAGAGCATGTTAAAAAAAATGCAGCAAGCCCTATTTTACCTGCTCTGGAACGCATGCAAATGCATAAAAAACGCATGCAAATGCACGGAAAGCCCATTTTAAACTAAAAAACACGTGGTATAACACTGCACTGCGTGTGCAGAAACTTATGCAGATCTGGTCTGCCTTTGGTGTGATGTTTTATATCTGGTTTGTACCATTTATACAATCTTTTTGGTTTACAAATAACCTCTTCATACATGATAATGCTGCTAAAGTGTTAGCTCGCTTTCAGGCAGACTGTCTCTCATCGTGACTTCCTACCCCAGAGTCCTGTGATAAGAGGTGAGACATTACTCTGAGTCACCCAGGTCTGACCTATTGATCACTGTAAACAACTCCTTGTAGGTAGGAAAACATTACATTCCCTTTAAAGCTGATATATATATAGCTCATATCACCATACCTGCATGTATCTCTCATTCAGAATACCCGAATCTGATTCATTGCCAGGACATGTTATGATCACTCACCTCAATGGCAAACAATGATCACTGAGCGATCCGGCATGTGATCACTGGTTGTTTAATACAGGCAAGTGCTTGAGATCATGGATTACAACCAGTGTCTTGGGAATATTGGCTCATGTTCGGTCACCCAAGTCCTTTTTATTCTGCACCATGTTTAATATTTTTCCTTAGTACTGTGGTGCTTGGTTACTACTTTCCATAGTACTTAGAACCGTTAGTACTGTGGTGTTTGGTTAGTACTTTCAGTATTGTTAGTACTGTGGTACTTGGTTAGCACTTAGTACCATTACTACTTTCCGTAGTACTTAGTACTGTTAGCACTGCGGTACTTGATTAGTACTTTCCTTTGTACTTGGAACCGTTTAGTACTGTGGTACTTGGTTAGCACTTAGTACTGTGGTACTTGGTTAGCACTTTCCTTAGTGCTTAGTACTGTTTAGTATTGTGATACCTGGCTAGTGCTTTCCTTAGTATTTAGTAATGTGATACTTGGTTTGTACTTTCCTTAGTGCTTAGTACTGTGATGCTTGGCTAGTGCTTTCCTTAGTACTCAGTAATGTTTAGTAATGTGATAGTTGGTTAGTACTTTCCTTAGTACTTAGTACTGTTTTAGTACTGTGATACTTGGCTAGTGCTTTCCTTAGTACTCAGTAATGTTTAGTAATGTGGTAGTTGGTTAGTACTGTTTGTAATATGTTACCTGGTTAGTACTTTCCTGAGTAGTTAGTACTGTGGTACTTGGTTAGTACTTTCCTTTAGTACTGCTTAATACTGTGATACTTGGTTAGTGCTTTCCTAAGTACTTAGTAATGTTTAGTAATGTGGTAGTTGGTTAGTACTTTCCTTAGTACCAAGTGGTGAGCATTCCCTGACCCACAGCAACACATTACAAAGGGCTGGGAAATGCCCCTGCTGTAGCTGATTGGACTGGAAGGGGTCTGTGGTTTGCGTGGTCATGGACGACTTCAATAATTTGAGGCATGGCCATTGTCCATCCCTTTTGTGATGTGTGCTAACCTCATCTGATTGGTCAGAAGGGGTGTGTGTCATTTACCAAGTCCATGGACATCACTGCTAGTTATGACCTAATCTTCATTGTGAATAGTGAGAGAGACTGTCCTTGTCTGTTCAGGAGCACTGCTGGTTTTCACATTGTTCAAGTATCTAGATTAGCTAGTTCTTCTCAGTCTGGCATTTATCTGGAATCTCAGTACTTGGGAGAGAGGCGCAAACCATAAGGCAGTCATAAGGCTGTAAATGTAAGAACGCTTTTGACTTACTTCATTCATATGTGTGTGGCATGTGTTCTCCTGATTTTCAACAAGAATTACCTGGGACGCTCTGGGATTCCTGTGGCAAGAACCTATGGATTCATGCAACAGGAATCCCAGGTGTCCCATTCAGATGTGGCAACTGTACCAATAGAAGTAAATGACAGGGTGACGGTGTCCGCATTTTGTCAGTGGAAGTCCGCGTTTAATTGTACACTGTGCGATTACATGCTGCCTGGAATAGGTGAGTGTCGCTAGACGCATCTATCCTTCATCCAGCGACAATCATTCATCCCAAACTTCATGTAATTGTACTATGTACGATTTACATGCGGACTACCGCTTACAGATGAAGCCGCTTTCAGGTTGTCATGCTGATCCCTTTTTTCAAGTAAGTGCATCTAGAAAAGTAAAAATAGAAAACGGAGCACAAAACCTAGACTACATGTAAAATGAATGAATTACTATTTGTCCAAATATACAAAAAATATATTCAGGCGCATAATAATTTGTTTGCGAATGCGCGGCAGCCATGTTGGCCACCGGCGTGTTCTGTGAATGCGTGCCACCATCTTGGAGGCAGGGAGCATGCCTGGCGTCAGGTGACGTCACACGCCGATATTGGCCCCACCATCTTGGTGAATACCTAGATATACACCAAGGTGGCGGCGCCCAACACGTGCGGTGTTATATGACGTCATGCGCCCCGCCTCCAGAACACGCCAATGGCTGAATCCAAAATAGCATAAACAGTGTTTTGTTTGATGAAACAAATGAAAACTTTTTTAGTTTTCGTTCATTTCATCTGAAATGAATTTTTAGTCTTCGCACATGTCTAATAATACGTTTGTGTGTGTGTGTGGGGGGGGGAAGGGGGCTGTTTTTCACTTTTAAAAAATCATTTTTTATTTTTTTTTCATAATTTTTTTTTATTTTTTTATTTTTCACTGTTGGGGGAGCTTCGGAAAATATTAGGGGTCCAAACAGACCCCTGACATTTCCCTTTTAAAATAGAAAAGAAATTGAGGACACCAAATCTTCAATTTCTTTTTCTGCAGCCTCGGCACTCAATGAATGGGAAGCACTCAGTACTGAGGCTTCCCATTCAAATATTTACTATCAATAGTTTCTGAATGGGGAGGAGCCTCTGTACTGACCTCTCCATTGAGGAAATCTTGAATGAACAGGCTGTGATGTAAATCACAGCCTGTTCATTTATAACTGGGGGCACATAGCACTATGCGTCCCCAGTTATTTACAAACACTGGAGTGATCAGACGATCGCTCCAGTGTTTGTCCTCACACGGAGGATCGGTAAATATCAATGATCCCCGCTCTGCCACAGAGCCCCTGTCATCCTGAAACTGACAGGATGACAGGGGCTCCGATCTCCTACCCGCTCGGCCATCTCGATGGCTGCGGGCGCAGCTTCTCTCCCCCTCACCGCTCCGCCATCCTGATAGCAGGCAGCGCTCCCTCCTGCGGGGGGTGGACGAGGGGGGTGGGGGGTGGACGAGGGAGAGCTGTCCTATCGGATGGCCAGCGGTGAGGGGGAGAGAAGCCGCCCCCAGAACGAGCTGTGTCGGCCGCCGGGCGTCCTGTGCGGCCGCACACCCCTAAGGCCGGCCCTGAATGCATTGCTGGGAAACCTCATCTGTAATCTCAATCGCATGTCCCAGAGTTCTAGGAAGTGAAGTAAGATGCCCTAAGTAAAAAATAGCCACTGTGAGAAGAATGGGGAAGAAAAGAAAAATAAATTATGCAAAGAATAACAAGCTGACAACTATGTATAAGTATCTGTTCGTAGATTGCCATAACTAAACATTTCTAAAGGTGTATTTGTTGTCATTACAAATAAATGGGTAAGATACTGTATGTGTTCCTCTTTAAGTGATACAAAATCCTCAGCTACTGTTGGTTCACCTTCCAGATGTCCTTCCTGCTTTTATAATCTAATGACTTTGTTCTGTGAGCTGACCTGCAGTCCTCTCCAGTCAGACTTCCTAAACGTTACAAAAACCATGGACTCCATCAATGGAGATCTAACTGGAGGAAAGAAAAGCATCACTGAAATGGATTACTACATTGGGCAACGTTTTGCAGATGGCAAGTACTATTTATTAGAATTGTAACAAGTGCCGCCCCTGACAGAATGGCCAAGCATTTCTCTTTAAGACTTGTACATACGAGCTTCTGGATTTATCACAATGCTGGGTACGGTGGGCTTTTACAAAGTATTTCCAAAGCTTTAAGCAAGCTTTTTTAAAGCAAACTTCAGTTCCAGTATCGGGATATTATAGTGACACTAAACTGAGGTGTTAAATGTTGAAAATACATTCAAGTACCTTAACTATTAACACAAATGCATCTTATTTATCTATCGCTCGGCTGTAGATCCTTAAATCATCTCTGAATTGGTGCTGACATTGTCCTTCCTTCTTGAGGGTTACTACTTTTGTTCCCCATGGTCCTGTGTGTGTTGTAAAGTAGTCACAGCTCCAAGCTCACTCCCATGATGGAATACAACGTTTAGTTTAACAATTTATATTGAGATTGTAGGCCATCGCAGGCGCGAGCATGGAGCAGTGACTTGTTTACAATACACACAGGGACCATGGGGAACAAAAGTAGCCACCCTCCAGAAGGAAGGACAGTGTCAGTATGGATTCAGAGATGATTGGAGGATCTACAGCCGGGTGATACACAATATATATTCTTATTAATAGTTAGGGTCATTTTTAGATTTAACTTCTTCTGAGTTTAGTGGCACTTTGAATATACAGTAGATCTTATTGGGAGTATTGACTGTCATTTTAAACCAACTGCTAGCTTGACTTTCTGTAAGTTCCATGTAGTACTGAAGCCTGCTAGCAGCTTGTTTAAATGCAATTAGTACTGCCATTAGAGCGGATGGTATTTATTTGAAATTACACATTTACCCTTCTACCACCTTTTTATAAGGAAAAATGGGGTTCCTGTAGAAAATATATACAGCCATGCTATAGTGTGTGGAGTGTTTGGATTATGATCTGACCACATACTCTTATTAATTCTGTTTGGCCCGCTTACAATTCACATCCATAAACTCCACTGCTTTGTTGAAAAACCTTTAAAAATATTCAGAGAAGATGAGAAGTTAAAATTGTGCCTTCAGCCTGTCACAGCCCTTTAATGTAGCACATATTTGAAGGAGGTGAGAATGCATTGTCATCCATTTTCAATAAGACAGAGTAGCGTCTTCCTCTTGTGTTGTTCTACTTTATAGTGAAATACAAAGCAATGTACACATATAGCTTCATTCAGCTCACCATGCTTTTTTTTTCTAAAACAACTTACAATATATTGTCTGCTCTTGTTCAGCAATGTACAATGCGTGCAAAGATGTTGAAGCTCCATCCAGTAATGTTAAAGCTTTGAGCTTGATGTGTGGGAAAGAAGCCAAAGACTGCAACGCCACCAACTGGATCCAATACATGTTCAACAAGGAGAATGGGCAAATTCCTTTCACCATCACACCTTATTTTTCAGGTAGAGTACACACACTTCTCAGGCTTGGTGGTTTGGGAGAGGGTGTGCCCAGGTTTTAAGGGTGAGGAGGTGCTGGTCAAAGCTGGGAGAGATAGTGTTTGGCCCAGTTGAGCCATGCATCTCATGAGATTTTCACTTGTATTCTATCATTGATCATCATCCATATCATACAGTTCTTGACCTCCTGAGAAAATGAGTGTTCCAGCTTTCCATGCCTTTTACAATAAATTATTTTGTTTCTGTATAATATAAAGAGCAACAATTTACATCAAGTTTTACTGATCTTGAGCAGGTGTTTGTTCAGCTCCTCGCAGGGGTCCTTTTGTGGTGGATGATTAACTATTGTATAGATCAGGGGTAGACAAACTCCGGCCCTCCAGCTGTGGTGACACTACAAATTCCATAATTTATCTGCCTCTGGGAGTCTGGTTTGCGGCTGTCAGAATCTTGCAATGCCTAATGGGATTTTTATTTGCACCACAGTTGGAGGGGGTACCCCTGGTGTAGATCACAGGGGCATAGCGGTTAGCGTTCCTGCCCTGCAGCACTGGGGGTCCCTGGTTTGAATCCTGGCCAGGTCACTATCTGCAAGGCATTGCATGTTCTACCTGTGCTTGTGTTGGTTTCCTCCGGGTACTCCGGTTTCCTCCCACACTCCAGACATGCTGGTAGATAAATTGGCCCATGTCTAAATTGTATGTGTGTATGTGAGATGGAGAGCTTGAGGGCGGGGACTGATGTGAATGTGCAATATGTAAAGCGCTGCTTAAATTGTTGGCGCTATATAAATACCTGTAATAAATAATCATTTGATAGACACTTGTCCAGAGTTTATGTACGTGAGGTCATCACCACCATATGTGGAGATTCTTTATTACAGTTATTTAGTGTTTAATCCGTTTTTATTAGCATATTTTACAGGATTCAAACAATCCGTATCAAAATGCAATATGTAAGAAACAAGACATTGGGAGAAAATAAGATCTGGCAGTGATAACCGGAGGCATTATACATGGCCATATAGGCTTATCAAAATGGTGCATAGGGCTAAGGCACAGATAAAGGTGAAAAAGAGCCACGCTATAGTGGCAGAGTCCTGCCTTGTCAGACCAGACCTTTGCATATCTGTTAAAGCAGCCCAGTACGGGTTAACCTAAAGCTACCAATGTCATCACCGCTCATTAGGGTCTATTACAGTTATTTATATAGCCCTCAATTACACAGAGTTCTACATAGTCCCTGCTCTCAAGGCCCTATCTCACATGCATTCCTAGTAGGGCAGATTTAGACCAATTACCATTGACATGTCTTTGGAGTGTGGGAGGAAACCAGAGTGCATGGAGGAAACCCATGCAAGCTCCCTGCAGATGGTGCCTAGGATTCAAGCCGGGGACCACCAGTATGCAAGGCAGAAGTGGTAACCTCTAAGCCACTGTACTGTCCTCCAAGTTTCTGGTTCTTTGCAGCCTCTGATCAAATTTAGTTTTTATGGTCTCTACTGGGAATATTTTTTTTTTTCTTCTCATACAAACAAAATAATTGTATATTTTTTCCTACAGATGAGTCACTGCACAGCATGATTCCCATGAACAATGCTACAAAGGGATGTAATGAATCTGTGGATGAAGAAGGTGCCCCATGTAGTTGTCAGGATTGTACTCTGGTCTGTGGCGTTAGACCAGTACCTCCGCCTCCTCCAGCACCTTGGCGCCTCTTTGGCTTTGACGCTATGGTTGTAATCATGTGGATAGCCTATGCTGCATTTTTACTTCTCTTCTGCTCTGCTGTTATTGGAGCTTGGTGTTACAGGTACACAGACATTATTATTATCATCATACAGGATTTATATAGCGCCAACAGTTTGCACAGCGCTTTACAAAATTGAGGAAGACAATACAATTTCAGTACAGGAGGTAGGGGGCCCTGCTAGTGAGAGCTTACAATCTAGGTGGGGCAAGTGATACAAAAGGTAATAACTGTTTGGGGGGAATTAGTTTAAGATCTAAAAGTACTGATTTATATTGAAGTGGAATAGGCCTCCCTGAAGAGATTAGTTTTCAAGGATCACCTAAAGGTGGACACAGTAGGAGGTGAGCGGACAGATCGGGGTAGGGAGTTCCAGAGGATGGGAGACATGCTGCATCTGCTTCCCTATGATGATCAGACCCCCTGTTCTCAGCAGCTGATTAGCAATACCGTGTTTCCCCGAAAATAAGACAGTGTCTTATTTTCTTTTTTGCACGAAAAAAGACACTAGGTCTTATTTTCGGGGGATGTCTTACCTGGCTGGGGGAGGACTGGACGTCCCAGAAGGCGGCGTGCTGTTGCCGGTCCCGGTGTGATGTAATGCTGGTTCCATCGGGCGTGTGGGCGGGAGCTGCGGCCAGCGGGAGTGTGGGCGGCGTGACAACTGTGGGCGGGAGCTGCGGCCGGCTGGTGTGTGGGCGGGGCGGGAGCTGCGGGTGTGTGGGCGGGAGCTGCGGCCGGTCTTTACACAGTTTATGTGCAGCTACCCCGAAAGGTAGAAGATAGCGCTAGGTCTTACTATCGGGGTAGGTCTTACCTTCGGGGGAAACACTGTATTTTATACTTTAAATATAAAATATAAATATAGGTTAGCAATAGTATACTTTAAATATAAAACTGCACATGAAGAGTGAGTCTCTGTACTATCTAAAGGTTTTACAATTGTCCCTAAAGGATTTAAATCTGAACTCTAGACACAAGAATGAGAACCATTCCCCGTTTTATGTTTCTCAGTAGTCACAAAGGATAAAAATCCATTGTATATGCAACATATGCCTTTGCAAACTCAGTTATTGTCTTCTGTATGTGGGAAATACTTAGCAGGTGCCACCCACCGCAGGCTACCTGCAGAAAACTACAGACAGGGGTGGGGGCAAGGCCAGTCACGCTGCACAAGGAAAGAGCAGCAATGACTGATCTTTTTTTATAGGATATTCCTGCAGAGAGGAAAAGTTTCACATTGCATTACTGCACAGATCTGGAAACAATACTATAAGCACAGCAAGATTGAAGAATACACATGTCACCTGTATTTAGACAATGTTTGCTTATCCTGGAGTTCAGCTTCAGGAACACATTGGGAGGCTTACATATTAAGTATATGTGATTAATGAAATTGGTTGCTGGTAGCAGCCGGTCAGCATCCAGCTATGACTTCTGCAGTCCAAGTCCATGAATGATGTGGGCAGCATGACGTTTCACTGTGGGCAGACTCTTCATTTGCCTCTATTTGGAATAACAATTAAATATGGATAGCGTGACCCTTTAAGTTAAAAACGCAGTAGCATTTATTATATTTTTCTTTGACATATGAATTGGCAATACTAAAAATAGTAATTACTGCTTCAGAAATGCTCATGTGTTTGTTGTCTTCATTGTATGTTAGAATGATTTCCTTTGTGTAATGATGATATGGCCACTAGCGGATTTTTAGGGGTTTTAAAAGTGTTCATTTTTGCTTTTTTTTAAATGTGCGATTGGTTTAAACTGCGATCAGAAAAATGAAATCTAATTCCGTATTTTCCTGCTGCTCGGTTCCTGTCTCTCTTACTAGAAGTTCTATATATTATATTCTTATTTTTTCCAGAAAAAAGAAGATAGTTTCAGAATATGCTCCGATTGACAGCACCCTGGCATACTCTGTCAATTACACTTCTGTATCAGGTATAGAGTTTTGAGACTGCATAAGTGGAATTACCCTTTACGTATGACACATTGTTAATAAGGAAGTGCAGATGCAGTTTTGTATTGCTCACACATACAATTTTAATATTATATTGCTCTGGTTCAGCTGGGTGTGGATGGGAGTTGGTTTAATTTTAGTGTGAATGGATTATTTGGATTAAAAAAATGGCTCCAGTGATGGGACTACTAGTTTGTATTGAGATCGCAGTCCATCACAGGAGCAAGCTTGGAGCGGTGGAAGTAAAAAAAAAAAAAAGTGTGGTGTGCAATATAGTGAAATGGAAAGTATAAAATTATACAGCAATCAATGCAGAATGGCACTGGCTATAGAGGACTACAAATCCCAGCAATAGTACAATATACAGCACAATACAGAATACCACCAGCTATAGAGGAATAACAAATCCCAGCAATAGTACACTATAGCTGGCGGTATTCTGCATTTAGCTGTATAATGCATTTGCTGGGATTTGTTGTATTCTTCTATAGCTGGTGGTATTGTGCTGCTGTATAATGTATTATTGCTGGCTAGAATACAACAAATCCCAGCAATGATACATTATACAGCAGCGCAATGCACGCAGAATACCTTCAGCTATTGAATACAACAAATCCCAGCAAATGCATTATACTATAATGTATTATTACTGGGATTTGTTGTATTCCTCAATAGCTGGTGATATTCTGCGTGCATTGCGCTAATGATTATACAGCGCAATGCAGAATATACCACCAGCTATAGAGGAATACAACACATCCTGGCAATACATTATACATACAGTGTTCTATAGCTGATGGTACATATACAGCGCAATGTACCATCAACTATGGAGAATACAACAGTTCCCACTATCCCAGCAATACATTAAAAAAACACAATCGCCATGTGGAAGGGGGGGAAAGCAGGCACTTGGGTGCCGTTCCCCCACGATCTTTGGCGGGCAGCGGCGAGTCTGGGAGCTCAGAGCGGGGAGGAGAAGAGGCGTGTCCTCTGCCGTGTGGAGCCGCAAGCAGGCCAACTAATGGATAGCCGACTAATCGATGTAAAAAGTTGACTACATCGATTAGTTGTTGCAGCTCTAGAATATACATAAAGGGATGCTATTTTTTTCTGCTTGGTACATAGCAGTTTGTCCCCAGGTGCTTCATAACGTAGACAATTTACGCATCGCTTTACATACTTCGCATTCGCGCAGGGAGCCGTTAAAGTGCTTACAATCTAAGGTTCCCATCTTGCATACATAGAAGGCAAATTTAGACAAGATTTTAAATTGAAAGATGGAAGCGGATTGGTTGCCATGCACAGCAGCTCCAGATTTAGTTTTCTCCAGTGTTAATAAATTCTCCTCCTCCTATTTTTAGCACAGCTGAGGGCAGTAATTTGAGTCAAAATTCAGTGTTGGAGGACATTGTACTGCATCTATGTATAATGTCTTTCCAGATTGCACTAATACTGTGTTTCTTTCTTTGTAGGGGATCCATCATGCTGTGACAGAATTGGGGAACGCCTGGAGAACTGTCTGAGGGTTGCTTTCACCAAATGGGGTTCCTTCTGTGTCAGGCGCCCTTGGATTGTCATCTTCTTCTCTCTGGCTCTGATTGCTGTGTGTTGTGCTGGGCTGAAATTCATGCAGATCACTACTGACCCTGTAGAGCTGTGGTCTGACCCACACAGTCAGGCACGCAAAGAGAAGGATTACTTTGACACACACTTTGGACCCTTCTTCCGCACAGAGCAGCTGATCATCACTGCACCTAACAGCTCAGGAGATACCTACTCTCCATATCCATCCGGGGATGATGTGCATTTCGGGCCTCCTTTAACCTTTGATATTCTCACCCAGGTAACTAAAAGATGACAATCATTGTTTATATAGTGAGGTAAATAGGCTCAACAAACTTTGACTGAAAAATCAAAGGAGCCTGGTGGAAAATAGTTGGCTTAACAGTGACTGCAGCCAATGAGCTGCAGTATCTGTTTTGGTATTTAGAATACAATAGACAACAGGGGGGGATTCATCCATTCATGCTCTGAACAAAAGAAATAAGAGTGTATGACTAGCTTTACAGTTTATTGTTTTAAAGCCGGTCATCTGTTGGCTTGATTTCTAAAGAAAACAAACCGTAAGGCCCCTTTTAGATGGGCAATTCCGATCAGGACCGCCTGTCAGTTTTTTATGGGGTATTGACTGGAAACGCAATGTTAGTCTATGGGCAGCCAGATCTAAACGGACGTGCGTTTGCATACATTCAGATTACCCCCGACGCCCATCCAGGTCCGGAAAACCAGATGGAACAGAGTTCAGTTTTGACGCACCTGATCATGACAGATTGCGGGTAATCTGTCTCCACGTAGAAGAAACATGGGTCTGGTAAGTTCCGGTTTTTTCCTTCATCACAAGAGGGAGTTATAAAATGGACAGACGGAGATCTCACAATGGTGACATCCGTTCCAAACTGCTCCGACCATGGGATCCATGAACTGACAGGTGCCCATGTGAAAGGGGCCTAAGACTTTTAACACCTTTTATTTTGATGTACCTGAAATGTATTCAGCCGATCTAAACGGAGGGTTCATTTGGGCTTGCTTGTATGAAAAACATTCCTGTGTCTAATTTGCAATGACGTGGGGAAGCCGTATATCCTGATTACACAGTACAGATTCTGCTTCTTGTCTTGCAGTGCTGCACAGTAGTGTAGTGTTCCTCTCACATCCTGCCATGGCTATTGAACAGGAAGTGAAGGGAAATCTCCCCATTGAGACACAGATGGCAATAAAAAAAGTTCTTTAATTCTGTTTGCAGGTTGGAGAGGAGGAGAAATGCGCTCCATGATTGGCTCTTTAGAAATATACCATCTCCATGCACGGTGTTCCCATATTGGTAATTGTGGCCTCGCTCTCATTCATCAGTACTAGCTAACCTTTATGTTTTTCTCTACAGGTCCTGGAATTACAAAATTCCATTGAGGATATAACTGCCACCTACAGGAATGAGACTGTAATGCTAAAAGACATCTGCCTCGCTCCACTGGCACCGTATAATAACAACTGTACAATCCTCAGCGTCCTGAATTATTTCCAGAACAGTTATTCTGTTTTGAATCACAGCGTGGGGGATGAATTCTATGTCTTTGCAGATTACCACACTCACTTCTTATACTGTGTGCAGTAAGTTTTCTTTACCTTTGTGTTATACGATGTTCTTTAGTGTTTAGTATCAATTAATGCAACAGCCAGAGTTCTGGAAAAGTTAAATTTTACCAGTGATGTTTACCTGATTGGGAACGCCACTCAAACCTGATAATTGTGGTTGGGTGAGTTTAGGGTAACTCTTGTGTTTTAAAATGGATCAGTTTACAGAATGGGTTTTACATATCCCCATGCTCCCAACTGCCTGAGTATAGGGAGCACAGCTATGCTCCGCCTGCCTCCCCATAATGCATCACTTGGATTGGCTAATTGCCAGGCTCCATCATTGCTACGAGGGCCACAGATAATGTACATATCCTGGCGTGATTTTCCATTCTAGCATCAGATCAGAGTATAAAGTTGTGTGTGTGTGTTTGTTTTTTTTTTTAAGGAAGGTAAGTATGTGATACTATAAGCTCCTTCTGTAAAGTTAAAGTGACACTAAACTCAGGAGTTAAATCTTAAAAATGCATTCATATACCCTATTAACAAAAATGTATCTTATTTGTGCGTCACTCGGCTGTAGATCCTCAAATCATCTCTGAATTCATATTGACACTGTCCATGCTTCTGGAGGGTGGCTACTTTTGTTCTCCATGATCCCTGTGTGTGTGTTGTGAAGTAGCCACCGCTCCAAGCTCGCTCCCATGATGGACTACAATCTCAATACAAATTAGTAAACTAAACATGAGATTGTAGTCCATCACGGGAAGAAGCTTGAATGAAGAACAGTGTCAGCACTAATTCAGAGATGATTAGCCGAGTGATAGACAAATAAGATACGTTTTTGTTAATAGGTAAATCTTAAAAATGCATTCACTTACCGTAACTCCTGTGTAGTGTCACTTTTACCAGTTATTTTGACTATTCTGAGCAAACTACAGGTTACTTTAACTAATCATTTATTTTGGACTCCAGTTAGACCAGTGACTGCTAATGTCTTCCCAAGTTTGCTATCCCTGCCTGAATAGTCTTCTTATACATGAAGAAGCTGCGCTGTGGGCTTGGCAAGTGGAGTAGATGTTCACAGCCTGATCACCTTTTATCCTAAACTATAACATTCGGTATTGCTTCTTTATTTACTTTATGTATTCCTCATCGTGGACCATAAAAATGTCTTCCTTCCTCTTAAGAAACACCTTGTTGATTTCACTTCCGAAACAAAATGCACAAACGTCTCTCTTCCTCAAAAGACCCACATGAAAGTCAGTGGTATCGTTTGTTTTTCAGTGGTGAATTAAATGCAATCTAGTTGTACCATTATGGTCTATTTCTGAGGAAAAAACATTTCCTTATTTTATATTTAACTTTTAAAAGCAAAACTTTGCTGATTTTAGTGACGCATAACTGTTATTTGATTACGGGTACAAGCTGTAGTAGATTTTATACAATGTCTCATATACAGAAGCAAAACCTTTCTGCCAGGTAGCTGTTTTTCATCCAGACATTGCAGTATTGTACCAGGTCTCCCCCACTTCTTCTTTTTTTTTTTTTTTCTGTCTGTGTAATCTGGTGATCCTGGAACACACCTGCTAGGGATGCTGGAACTCTCTTCCTTGCTGCCTCTTGCACACATAGCATGATGTAAAACACAATGCTAGTACAAAAAAGTTTATCACAGCCACAAATTTGATTTCAAACGGTTGTGCTAGTTAAAGGTGATTGGTTTTGCAGGGAACAGTGAGAAATAGAAACTTGCTTAGCACAGTACACTGTTCCTGCTCACTGTATGGCAGTATAAAGTATTTCTAAACCCAGGAACACACATTTTAATGTATTGCAGCTTATAATACTTTAAATGTGGTGGCTTTAGGTTCACCCGGTGATCCGGCCAGCAAGTCCGTTATTTTTTAACTTCCTTTAACAGACTAAGCTGTCCAGCAAGTTGTCATAAATTCATTTTTCACCAAAGGAAAATAAAAACTTACTCTTAACAGTTTAAAAGGCATTAGCTGGAGTTCAGCTTTAAATTGTTAGTCATATCCATCTAAATCTGCTAGAGCATCTAACAATACCTTCCCCAGAGGGTGACAATGCTGCTGCCAAAGAGTGGTTCTAGTCCTCCTCCTTCTAAGACTGGAGCCACTCTAAGACAGGAAGTGTGTTAGTGGCAGGATCGACAGGTGAAAGTAAAGGGAAAAAGCCTAAAAAAAGAAAACCAATGCAGCCACCACATTTAAGGATTGGTAAACTGCAATATATTGAATTTTTGGTTGTGGGTTAGATCCATAAATATGTATGCTTAAAGCATAAGGATCTTTTAGCAGACAGATATTACCTGTACATCTGACTAACATCTGATTTCTTTTCGGTAGCATAGGAGGCTTCGGCCATATTTTCCCGTTTTTTCAGGAGCATCAACACAAACTTATGGCCCCCACCCAAATTATCTGACATTTCATAGCCAATATAAGCTCATCATTCTAACTAGATGTTATATTGAAGGTGTATCTTGTACTTGCTACCAATCTGTTTTTTTTTGTAAAGTAATGATAAACTATCATTCTTAAGAAGAGCCATATTTACCATTTTGTCCTCATCATAATCCTCTCACTCACAGGTCTCCAGCTTCTCTGAATGATACCTCTGCTCTTCACGATCCATGCCTGGGCACGTTTGGTGGCCCAATCTTCCCATGGCTTGTTCTTGGAGGCTATGAAGGTATGTCACATTGGGCACGTGTATACAGTTGTGTACGATTTTTCTATAGCCTCGCCCGTCAGAATTTTTGGGAAATGCTTTGTTTAAAACAGATGTTGTACGCACATCTTGGCTGCAATCTTGCAGGAGCTGTCAAACTTCATACATGAGCAGTACAACTGTCTGGAAAGAGGACATGTATTTGCTAGCAAGTCTATGCTACATACATTATTAGTGGGTTAAGTCACAAAGAAAGATTAATCCTATGTACTTTGCCGCACTCCTTACTGGATACTCCAAAGAAAATGGATGCTTGTAATGACTGCGGATGGCGCCGCTAAAAATCCAGCAAATGTCACCAGCACTCCAATATGAAGATTCACGTCCGTGTAAATCCATTTTATTGATTTCAAAAGACAAGCGCTGTTTACTTTGATCAGTTACCATTTGTCTCCTCTCTACCTGGTTACACTGAAGGGTGAATGCAATACTTGAGAGTATTTTCAGGCTTTTTTTTAGAATTTTGACAGATTGCCTTGTTTTGAATTGCTTAATGGTGGGAATATGATGTCATTGTGATGTCAGAGGATGGGGGTGTTATTGCTCTTATTTATGTATGTCTCTATATAATGGTTGTGGTTCTCTTATACAATGCCATTATTGAGCCTGATGAAGGGGACCCTGTGCGGCCCCAAAATTGCTTGTCTTGTGACATCTATCAATAAAATGGATTTACACTGACATGAATCTTCATACTGGAGTGCTGGTGACATTTGCATTTGTTACAAGCCACAAAGAAAAGCACATACAGTAGGTTATTACTACTTCTTCATTTCTTTTGTGTTTTGACCATTATGAATAGTGATGTAATTTGAGGTTTCTGCTGAAGAGAGCAGGAAATGGATCTGTTTGAGTTGGTGATAAAATACCCAGGGACTATTGGAGACTTTTTTTTCAAAAGTTAAATGATGATTTCATGCCAAAACCACCAGATTTGATTGTAGTCAGTTTTTCAGTATTGGAATGTTTGTGCTAACACGTTTAAGTCATGTTGCAAAAAGGAGCTGATGTTTTTGCTGGTGAGACTCTACCAGTTGCCATATGTTTAATATATATTATGGGGCTGACGCGTGAATAGTTTGTGGATGGAAAGAGTTCTTGTTTCCTCTAGTAACAAGTCATACGTTTTTCAGACATGGAATACAGAAACATCAGTTGGAAACTGGTTATGGGCATCAAGAACATTTTCTTATGGCACACTTTTTTTTTTTTTTTTTTTTCCCTACAACAAACCCTAAGTACTTGAGTGGACATGCCTTGCATTCCTTCCTAGCGTAGTCTGCTCATCTGATAATTGTAATGAGCTTACCAAGTATAAGGTTAATCCTTCTTAAGGAAATCCTAGAGAGATTATTCTATGCCCATGTACTTAAGAGCCAGCTGGCCATCATAACCTAACCTAAGGTATAAGAACCTTGTAAGTGCAGAAGAAAGCATTACTCAGAAGTTCTCTGTCATTCAGTGTTAAGGTTTAATGTATATTGCTCAAACCAAGTATTAAAAAACAAAATTGGCAAGATCTAACCTTCCCACTGTAAATGTTTATATCCGTAGCTAGTGTAAGAACTTGAAGGAGAACTATTGGGAGTGTAAAATGTACTCTTCCAATCAGGGGCTGACTGGCAACTTTTAGCCCAGGGGGCAAGTACAACCTAGAGGCCCATGGTGCGGCAACTTGGTCCCCCTCCCGCTCTGCCTCTTCCCCGCATTTGAGGTGCGGCACGCGGCGTGTGTGGAGCCGTGAACAGGGACAACCAATCTGACAGCTGATTAATCGATGATTGAAAATGTTGACAACTTTTTCAATCATCAATTATAATCAACTTAGTCGATTTAGATGTTGCAGCCCTACATTCATCCCTGATTTCTGGGCACAGTCCCCGGATTCAGGAGACCGTCCACTGACAAATTATGTCCCCGGGAACATAAAATAAACCTGGCTTTATATTATAAAGTTCTTATAATATAAAGCCAGGTATGCAGAATTGGATATAGCTGTGCCACACTACAGAGTGTTCATGTTCTTCATAATATTAAGAAACTGACCTAAAATCATGATTTTGTATTGCTTTAAAAAAAATTTGACCTGTCCCTTTAAGAAAAAGTATCGGTAATTGGTATCGGCGAGTACTTGGAAAAAAGTATCGATACTCGTACTCGGCCTTAAAAAAGTGGTATCGGTGCATCCCTAATATATATATATATATATATATATATAGGGTCCAACAGCTAATAAAAGTTTATCTATATATTTGCTAACATTTTTAAAGGTGTTACTAAATAAATAAAATAAACAATCCCGTTTCAAATGGCAGCAATTTCAGTTTTGGTTCTTTTTTCTCTACATTCATGAATTGACTGAACAAATAAAGAGAGCATACTGTGCATAGTGTATTACATGAGAAAATGCCTTTTAGAATTGCCTTTATGTGGTCGTCTTCATCTCCAATCCTATGCTTTATATTTTCACACCCAAAATGTTTTATTTCAGGAGAACATTATAACAATGCTACAGCACTGGTGATGACCTTCCCTGTAATAAATTTTCACAACGACACTGAGAAGCTAAATAAGGCCCGGGCCTGGGAGAAAGAGTAAGTATGTTTTCCAATGTCAAAGAATAGAGTGGTGTCTGCTCCAATCATCATGTATATGGCTGAATTGTACCGGGAGCATGATGGAGCAAGGACCAAACGTGATTCCTGAACTGAGCATCGTCCGTGTAAAAGCACTAATGAGCATGTTGAGGTTTCTGTACTGGCTCCTGTCATATGTACTTATGTATAGAATTGTTTACTCATCTGGTCTTATTCTTCTGCTCTAGATTTATCAGATTTGTGAAAAATTACACCAACTCTAATTTATCCATCACGTTCTCTGCTGAGAGGAGTATTGAAGATGAGATTAACAGAGAAAGTAATAGTGACGTGACCACTGTTCTCGTCAGCTATGCTCTGATGTTTGTCTACATCTCGCTGGCCCTGGGTCACATCAGCCAGTGTAACCGTATCTTGGTGGGTACCAGTTATTGTTCTTGATTTGGTTTTGGGTAAAGGAAATGTATGGGTTTTGTACAGTATGTTCTTCATTTGTTATGATCAGGAGGTGGCGCATTAGGTTCCTCCCTCACATGTTTTGGCTATCATCTGCTTTTGCTGAAAAAAAGAATATTGTTTACAGAGCTTAAAGGAGAACTCTGGGCAAAACTTCTATTAACCCTTGAAGTGGGTCTACCACCGTACTGCATGGGTTACCTGCTCTTTTTGTCTAGGTGCTAAAAAAAAAGGGTTATACTCACTCGAATCGCAGAGCTGGCTTCCTGCTTCTCCAGTCTGAAGCCTGTCTCCTATGCTGCAGCACTGAAATGTTTCTCTGCGTCCTCACATCTATACAATGTGTATAGAATGTGATGATTTACAGGACCTTAGACCAATGCAATAGGACATTTATTTTAAAAGGCTAAACTTTGTTTCCTTTCAGGTGTAGCTTAATGACTCCTTAAAAATGATATCTAAATACATTAGATTTTTTTTAATTTAAAATCAAACACCTTAAAATTGCAAATACTTCATGTACACTTGCAAATCCGTGCTAGCTTTTATCCATATTTCTAATATTATCCATATGTCATCTTAGAGTCTCCTCTATTCTTCTTGGTATTAGTGGGAGCTGATGAAGGGGTGCTACCAATTGAGGGATGTTTTAATAGGAACGTCTTTTATTCTTTGCCCAGAATTGGGCATGTAATAGGATGGTTCTATACCCACCCTAACTTTCCTTTTATCAGCAACGTGTTACTTGTTTTACTGAATGCTGCTGTCAATCCAATGAGAAGGGAGAACACATAGTAGAAGTGGTAGGAGCCACATTGTTATGTGCGGTGATGTGCTTTCCCCTTAATGCAAATATAGGAGCATACTGACACACTAAGGACTTGTTCAAACCAAGCGCGCTACAGGAGCAGAGCAGTTACAGACCGGATCAAAACTGCGTCCAATGTATTCCAATGGTATTTTGGGCTCTAGTTCACACAGCAGCGTTCAGTATCAGAGCATGTAAAACAAACTGCAGCAAGCCCTTTTTTACCTGCTCTGGAACGCATGCAAACGCCCTGGAACGCACTGAAAGCCCATTTTAAACTAAGACAAAAAAACGGCCCGGAACGCCTCAAAAACGCGGCATAACACACTGCACTGCGTGTGCAGAAACTCATGCAGATCTGGTCTGCATTTGGTGTGAACAAGCCCTAAGAGGGCGGGAAAAGTGTATGACTTCTGAGCTGTGCAGGCAGCAGAGATCATGCCAAGATGTCCTGCACTGTGCCTGCTAAGATACCTATTGATAAAGCAACAAGACACATAGTTTTACAAGTATGCAGGGATGCACAATGTTAACTTGCAATTTGTGAATTGTATTCTACTTTAAAATTAGCTGCAGCTAGCTACAGTGCATGTATTTTTGTTTACATTTTATCAAGTACTTCTAATGCCTGTTAATGCAATCGGTGCAGAAGGAGCTGCTCAGGCCCTCTAATGTCAGGCAGCAGACCCCAACATGTACAGCCATGTGCTTGTGTACAGGGGGAAACACCCATCATGGGTATAGCTCATTTCTCTCACCATAGTAAATACCTGGCAGTTATTTTTTTTCCCGGTGCTCAAAAGCTGATATTTGCCTGCATTGCTCATTTAAATATGTTATTAATATATCCTCATCTCCCCATCTTTTCCAGGTGGACTCGAAGATCTCACTTGGTATTTCTGGTATCCTTATTGTGCTAAGCTCGGTCGCTTGCTCTCTGGGTATCTTTAGCTACGCTGGCATTCCACTGACTCTGATAATTATTGAGGTCATCCCTTTCCTGGTTCTAGCAGTCGGAGTGGACAACATATATATCATTGTGCAGACCTTACAGGTACAGTGCTGTTTGCCTCTCCATGTATAAGTGAAAAAGGTTGGTCTCCTGTGCAAGCTGTCGCAGGACTTTATAACTCTAATATTAGACCGTTATTCCCTCTACATACAATACATGGGCTTAATTCACTAAAGTATAATGTGTGTTATTTGTCATAACAGTAGTTATTTGCTGGAATGTGACTGTTATTTTTCATTGGCTGTCTCTGCTGATTTTTATGACAAATTAACTGTTCTATCAGAATGAATTAAACTTGTTCTGTCATAAACCATGGCAAAGTCCAGACTGTCAATATTAAAGGCTAGTTTAAATATTGTTCTATGCATCTCAAGTGTTTTCCTCTTTATTGGCAGCTTAACATCATTTGTTATAAAGAACTCTGGACAAAGAAAATCTTAACTCTTGCAGTGGGGCTACCACTGCGCTGCAAGGGTTAAGTGCTCGCTTTGTATAGGGGCCAAAATAACAGTTATACTCCCCTTACCCGTAATCCCGGCTGGCTCTTAGATTGGACCCTTCAACCTGCCCCCCTCCGTGCAAACAGGGTCATCATGTACTATAAAGTGAATAGAACGTGAGGGACATTCCATCTCTGGAGTGGAGGAGGAGAGAGACTGAAGGGACCAATCTAGGCGCCAGCGGGGATTGTGGTTTGGGGGAGTATCTGCTATTTTAGCCTCCTAGGCAAAACAAGCACTTATCTTGCAGTAATAAAATCTCAGCCAGTTAGGGTTAAGAATTAATCTGCCCAGAGTTCAACAACTAATTCCTAGTGTGTAACCATGCTTATAAGCACGCAAACTCCTTTTTACGTAAGCCTGTTATTGGTATTTACTAAAGCCTATTTTTTTCCAGAGAGATGAGCGCTTACATGGTGAGAAGCTTGATGGGCAGATTGGCAGAGTCCTTGGAGAGGTTGCCCCGAGCATATTCCTCTCCTCATTGTGTGAAACTGTGGCCTTTTTCTTGGGTAAGTTCTTACACTGCGTTTGTAGGATTGCAGGGTCTACATTTGTTTCCACTCATTGCTAAGATGAACTTTGTATTAATAGAATCCATTTGTAAGATTCAGAAAGAATAAACACAATTACACAGCATGGCAAAGAGCAGTATCCTAATTGCGGCATTGTTTGAAAGGACCCATGGGGGGCAAGCTTTGTTTCACTGCTCCCTCCTCATTACCATATACTCTTTTCCTTCACATCCCTGTTGTTCTGTGTAGCCAATGGGAGTGAAAAATGCCTGGTAATTCTAGGAATAGGGGGGCATGAGACTCGCTGCCCATTCTCTTGCATGACATAGCTAGTCCCTGATGATTGGGCCATCACTGTCATGTGAAGAAATAATGTCACCAGCACACCATAGTAGTAGTTAAGCAATAGTCCATTTAATGGCACATTGCCATGCAATGCAAGCCCTTTCGGGGCCTCAGGGGGTCCCCTTCATCAGGCTCAGAATGGCATCATTCTGAGCCTGATGAAGGGGACCCCGAGGCCCCGAAAGCGTCATTCTGAGCCTGATGAAGGGGACCCCCTGAGGCCCCGAAAGCGCTTGCATTGAATGGCAATGTGTCATTAAATGGACTATTGCTTAACTACTACTATGGTGTGCTGGTGACATTATTTCTTCATTTGTGTTATTCACGGTGCCGTCCGTGGTCACTACAAGCACCCACCCGTTTGCACGGGTCTCTTGGATATTCCGGTAAGGAGTGCAGCAAGACCTCCGGTTCTTATCACTGTCATGTGAACGCAGCTGTTTGCCTGGCATTCTGGTGTAACCTTTGTGTCTTACCCTCGTGTGTATTTGTGGCTAGCAAATGTGCTAAATCACCGTCTATGTATTCACTAATTCTTCTAGTAAACATTTCTGCATTTCATAAGGGTTCAGTAGACGACTAGTAAATTGTGAATGTTGCAAAATACGGAGTTACAGCTAAAAGTCGTGAAAATTTAGTGAATTGCCTTTAATATAGTTTAAAAATAATTTGTGGCTGGGCTATTGCCATTTAACCATTTACATATTCTTAACAAGCAGTAAATGAGCTTTACAATGAGCCCCCATTCACATCTGTACCTGAAGGGACTGTGGAGCAATTCTTCCTTGGTTTACAACAGAAGCACGGGGCGCAGGCATTTCACACTCTTGAAAGTGTTGGATGTGTAGATTCTACCATAGGCTCTTAAAATAAAGATGAAAGGACCCGGGCAGAGGGGTGCAGGTATAGACCCACTTTTTTTGCAGGTGGTGCTTTTATACATTTTTAACTCCGTAGTAGATTTTAATCCTTTTTCAGTGTATCTCTTTTAAATTCACATTTGCAGACTTCCAACTGTAAGTCATATATATTTGTTCCTTCTCTCATGAATAGATGCCATTCAATATCAGGTAGTAGCGCTCTTTCTTGTGTTTTTCTCTTTTAAATGTCCATCTTTGCTAGTCCCTGACAAAACTTAACCATGAGATGCGTTTGTCCCCTCACAGGAGCAATGTCCAATATGCCGGCTGTACGCACCTTTTCACTCTTTGCTGGAATGGCGGTCTTCCTGGATTTCCTTCTTCAGATCACCTTCTTTGTGAGCCTGCTGGGTTTAGATATCAGACGTCAAGAGGTAAATCTAAAATTCTCATTTTCATCATCTTCAATAATACTTCTAATGGTCACATAAACCAAAATAGAATAACTCCTACACAGTCCCATGTAACAAGTTTCAGGAATAAGTGTGTGGAAATATTTTATGTAGCTATATACGTCTTGCTTTTTACAAGGCCAAAGACTTAAGCATCACTGGTACTGTGACACGCAACATTAACAGATAGATATTCCAATATGAACATCTTGGAATTGCTCCTTAATAGCCTATATCCAGCAATGGTTTTTCATAGCTTGTCATGTTTTTGCTGAATTAAGTACTTTTTTCCACTGCAATCAGATCTTCTAGGGGCAGCTAGGTCTATCTAGGTCTAGCATTGGTGTCTCCACTGTGTTGGCATAGGAAAAGATGTCGTAGAGTGAGCGTGTGCTAAATAGGGGCCTATAAACTCTGAGGTAAGGGAAAGATGGCAAGGTGTCTGCATTGTCGAGAAATGGAGGGAGGAGGCGTGAGAGTGAGGATTGGGGTTTAATGAAGGATAGGCAAAGGGCAGGCTGGGTAGGTTGAGGATGAGAGCAAGAGGAAAGAAGAATAAAAAAAGAGAGATGGGGGGGTGGGGGGGGGTTAGATATACATTATTATTTATTATAGGAATCTCTATAGTGCCAACAATTGATGCAGCTCTTTGCATTCACATCAGTCCCTGCCCTCAATGAGCGGGAATCTACGGTCCCTACCACACAAACTAGGGCTAATATAGACAGAAGCCAATTAACCTTCCAGCATGTCTGTGAAGTGTGGGAGGAAACGAGGAAGCACAGCGAGTTCATGCAAACTCCATGAAGATAGTGTCATGACCAGTTTTCGAATAGGGGACCTCAGTGCTGAAAGGCAAAAATGCTAACCACTAAATCACGGTGCTGCCCTGATTTACATTATTAAGTTATATCTTCGGTATTATATTTAGTGCCTGTGTACAATTTAAACACAATCATATATGAAAAACCTTGTTACAAAGAAATCACATGAACATATACTGCAACATAATATATAAAAGATTTACAAGATAACAGAACTTTAATTTTCTAGTCCTGTTAAAGATGTTTTTGTGATTCCAAAACTACATTGGCATTTATCTTCCCCCTTCATATGTAAACCATGAATCTGCTAGCAAACATATTTGATGGTTACGTCCCTGACCCACGAGCCTTGGAGCCATTGAAATGAAATGTATGTTTTGTACATTGCTCTGGTTTACTTTTCATCCAAGGCGCAAAGGTTAACATTGGTTATTCTCGTATAAAGTATAGGCAATGTGTTTATTGCATTATGGGAAAATAGAACATTATCTATGATGTTTGAAATGGTTATTTGTATTTTACATAAATAGATTATTTAGATGGAAAACCTCTGTCTTAAAGGGCCATTTCACCCAAAACGGATACTCCGATAGTTTTTTTGGTAGATACTAGAGAACTAAGACAGCCGACAATTTCTTATATTTCTTGCGGGCCATATGGGTGTGATCTCTGCACCACAGTTCCTGGGTATGCAGTTCCTGGGACCTGCTTTGGCCATTATTAAGGGTTCGGGCTCTCCCTGTATCCAGTATTCTTTGACCTATGGGACCCCGTATTCAGCATTCTTTGACCTAAGAGACCCCGTGTTCAGTATTCTTTCACCTATGGGATGCTCTCTTCACAATAAATGTGATATGCTTTTACTGAAGGTGCCCATACACTGCACGATTCTCGTACGAGAATCGCGGGAAATCCCGCGATCGTACGAGAATACCGCAGTGTATGGAAGGCATGCGACCGTTTCTACTGTACGGTCGCACGTCTTCCATCGAACCAGCATGTTTGAAAACCCGCCGGGAATCGTACGATTCTCGGCGAGTTGGTGGCCTGCTGGTTCGACAACTGTCGAACAGGGTGGTGTGCGCACGCGCACACTGCCCGTTTGTAGTCAGCGTAAGCCCGCCCCTCGGGGCGTGTCGTGCGATCTGCCCGTCCAAGATGGGCAGATCGTACGTTTTTTTTAATCCCTTTACAACCATCGCAAGACTAAGGTCTTGCGATGGTTGTACAGTGTATGGCCACCTTTAGAGTGCTGGCATTTTCTCATCTGGTTCTCGCACGGCACCATCTGTTGCAATCACTTTGACTGATCATTTAATGGTCAAGTACATTGAGGCATGCAGAGTTGAAATTTGGACTTGATTTATCTTTGTATTCCTGCAGAGAAACAGGCTGGACATCTTTTGTTGTATCTCAGGGTCTAAGAAGAATCGTGAAACAGACAAACCAAAGAGCTGCCTCTTCCTGTTCTTCAAGAAGATCTATTCCCCTCTGCTAATGAAAGACTGGATTCGGCCAATAGTGGTGCGTGTTCTATAAGCTGCATCTGTTGTCTCATCTCTCACACTGTAGCAGAAAATCAGAGGCTGCAAATACCAATACAAACGTGTCCCTGTGTGTATCTCTCTCTTTACGGCTTCATTTGAGTAGGTAACATGTCCTAGTAGTTTTAGCACTTCTGCAGTATTTGAAAGTATGGTTAGAACTTACCTTTCATTTGATGTTACCATGCCAGATATTTTAGAATGCATTAGCAAGAGGTCCATAGTATTTTTTTCAAGTAGGGAAGAGTTAAACCTCCTGTTAGGTGTTTTTTTTGTTTGTGCCATCCGTGTCCCATTGGGTAGATTGTCTTAATTTCCTGTCCCATTAACCTATCAGGACGTGAGTGAAATCCACTCTTAGAGAATTATCACTGTAATTAGTGTTCCCTTTAATTTTATCTCTGTTCTGGTGACACCATTTTGGATTTTCCCTCACTTTCAGTTGACATGACAATGGTCACCAAAATGAACAGAGTGAGTCTCCCCAACTGGTATACAGAGATAAAAGAAAAGGTTTGATAACCCTTCCTTGTCTATCAAAGACGAAACAGGTTTTGGCTTCAGATATACTTTAATGAAATGGTTAATTAAGAGTAATATACAACTTACATGGTCCTGTGCTGAGTTTATACCTGGCAGTCATAGTAAGGAAGATATAATGATGTGATGATTCAGCTGACTGGTATGATCAGAGATGTATTGTGTGTTGCAGATGGCGGTCTTTGTGGGAATGCTTTCCTTCAGCATCGCTGTGGTCAATAAAGTGGAGATCGGTTTGGATCAGACCCTGTCCATGCCAGATGTGAGTTTACATTCTTGATATAGATTCCGATTACCGTATAGTATTGAAGATCTGCCGTGTGCTGATTACATGACTCGGCTCAGTGTGAAGGTCATCTGAAACATTTCTCTTTCTGTAGGACTCCTATATAGTGTCGTACTTTGACTCTATGAATAAATACCTCCACACCGGGGCTCCAGTGTATTTTGTGGTGCAAGAAGGACATGACTATAAAACAAAGGAAGGGCAGGCTATGGTGTGCGGTGGGGCAGGGTGTAATAACAACTCATTGGTTCAACAGATTTACAATGCTGCGCAAATGGACAATTAGTGAGTATCCACTAATAGAGTAAATATCATATATGTCTGTATAAACATGCCATGTTCTAATAACTTTCCTCATGTTCTAGCACAAAAATAGGCTATGCACCTTCCTCCTGGCTGGATGATTACTTTGACTGGATGAAGCCTCAGTCTACTTGTTGTCGTGTGTATAACGAAACTGACAAGTTCTGCAACGCTTCAGGTAATTTTATTAATAAAGATCATTCCACAAAGCTTTTAATTTACACTCTTGTAATATCTCGCCTCGACTACTGTAACTCCCTTCTTGCTGGCCTACCACGAAACAGGCTATCCCCCTAACCACCCCCTTCGCTCCTCCCAAGACCTCCAGCTCTCTTGTCACCTCCTCGCATGCTCGCCTTCAGGATTTTTCAATAGTGTCTCCCATCTTCTGGAACTCCCTACCCCAATCTGCCTACCTATCTCCTACTCTCCTCCAACTTTAGGCGTTTCTTGAACACTCATCTCTACAGGGAGGCCTATTCTATCTTGATATAACAGTACTTTCCGTTCTTCCACTAAATCATCCCAAACAGATATTACCTTTTTGTATCACTTTACCCCTCCAACTAGATTGTAAGCTCTCACGAGCAGGGCCCTCCTATCTCCTGCACTGAAATTGTATTGTTAATTGTATTGTCTCCCTCAGTTTTGTAAAGCGCTGAGCAAACTGTTGGCGCTATATAAATCCTGTACAATAATAATAATAATAATGAACCTCGTAGAGGGAAAAAAAAAACCCCACACCATTGCTGTTGGTCATTTAGTCCACTCATAGTTATGGGCCAATAGGAATGTGTGAGAGAGGGGGTCAGGTCAGTGATTAGCGCTACTGTGTAGCGTGGAAAATTAAAGATCACATGGATCTAGTTCAGGACTCTTGGGCTCCAGAAGAGGAGAATTAAAGTTATGTGCAAGCACCATCTGTATTTCAGTTCCTGGCCCTGTTAAATACTATTCTGTACTCACAAGTGTACTTTAAGCATTTGTGGATGATTGTTGTGAGAGCAGAAAGTGATACTTTCTTGGCTGTTTTTTATACTGTAATGGACTTTTACACTGAATGGTAGGAATAAAGTGCCGAAGGATTATGTCTGCTTAGTGCATTATGCCCATTCCCTATTGCACTGTTTTGAAGAAGTAAAATTTATATATAAAGGACTGTTGCTTTATCAGCTTTCATTTCCAGGTCTGTTAACAGGCCAATGCAGCTAAGAATATTTGAGTGAATGTTTGCTGCTATATTAAAGTGCTTAACATTACTGAACTTGTTCTCTGCAGTTGTGGATCCATCCTGCCATCGCTGTCGCAATCTTACAACTGAAGGTAAACGGAAGCCAGTGGGAGCGGATTTCATGAAATTTCTGCCCATGTTCCTCTCGGACAACCCTAACGCGAAGTGTGGAAAGGGGTAGGTTTCTAAGAAGTGTTCAGAATAGTCCAAGTATTTTTGCTACTCTGGGGAACCGCATTGTAGTCATTTTGCAAGTCTCAAATTGTGTGCCTGGTTTTCTCATTATTTCTGAAATCAGGTATAGAAATTGTGGTTTATAATTTGTGATAGGAAGTACAATGGATTCTGTAACTTCTTTCTTCTTGTGTCTCAGAATCCTTCCCATTAAAGAGTCCAAACCCATTAACCTTCCTGGCGGTATTCCCGAGTGTGGCTCAGGGTTAATTTTCTGTACCATAAGCAGTAACCCCGAGCCCCACACGGGGGAATACAGCGTAGCAAAATGAACTAGTATGTTGCGCTCGGTGTTGGTGGATCTCTTTTGGTTTGGGGTAGGTTTAGTTGTCACTAAACACAATGTCAAACTATATACGGTGAAAATGGTGATAAATAATTCTATGTGATAAATTAATAGATAGTACTTAAAATCGTGCTAATTTGTGATCTATAAATAAATATATATAAACATATGTTGTTGATTTAAATAGTGTATATAAATTATTCTTGGAGACTCTAATTGTGTAGGATTACCGTGGTGGCGGTATAATGCTTATACCTAAAAAATTCATTGGTACCACTATAAGTGTCTCAACGTGGCTGTTAGTGAATTACAATATAGTGAATTTTTTTGATAGTTTTTACTTCTTGATACAATTTACAAAGTATACATTCACTATATTGTAATTCACTAACAGCCATGTTGAGACACTTATAGTGGTACCAATGAATTTTTTAGGTGTAAGCATTATACCGCCACCACGGTAATCCTACACAATGAGTCACCACAGAATAATTTATATACACTATTTAATCAACAACATATGTTTATATATATTTATTTATAGATCACAAATTAGCACGATTTTAAGTACTATCTATTAATTTATCACATAGAATTATTTATCACCATTTTCACCGTATATAGTTTGACATTGTGTTTAGTGACAACTAAACCTACCCCAAACCAAAGAGATCCACCAACACCGAGCGCAACATACTAGTTCATTTTGCCTGATTTATATCAACACATTGGTGCAGCTGGTGACAAAATATAGCTACTCCTAGCGCAACTAATTGATTTGAATACAGCGTAGCGTCTCTTACCTTCTCTTTTTTTTGTACAACGCTGCTAGAGCTGGTCTTTCCAGTTGCAGCTATCAGAGGGCATTTAAGACATTCCTCTCTCTACTTTTATCCATGTATGGTGGTATTACTTGTAGCTATCCCTTCTGTGAGGTAAGTGTCTGACCTGGTGGTTTTATCCTAAAAGGAACCTTTGCTGGTTTTGCATAGGGTGGTGGTGAGGCTCAGGACCTGTTCCCCTCAACCAGGACATTGTTCTTTCATCACTCTGTCTTGCTGCAGTTCACCAGAAGGAAATTTCTCTCCATTATCTAGAAGTAGTTCTCCATTATCATGCTGTGAGATTCTATTAGCCACTGCTTCGTTCACAATCTCTAGGTGGCTCAGGCAGACCATCATCCAAGCTTTTGTTCTGGTCTCAAGGTGTTGGTCCCTTTTCTGTCAAGACACACTCTACCATATTTGTGAGTGCTCCTTGGGCTTTTCTGCATCAAACAACTGTTTCTTAGATCTGCAAGGCTACCACCTGGTCTTCTGTTCACAAGTTTTGTACGTTCTACCAGGTGGGTGTTGTGGCCTCATCTGTTGCCAGCTTCCAGCATAAGGTCCCTCAGGTAGCTCTTTAAACTGCAGGCTGTCAGACTGCTTTTTTGTGCCCCAAAGGGTTTATTTGTGTTGTAACGGGCCTGTTAGCCATTTGCTGTGTGGACTGCCCCTCTGTTGGACTGCTTTTGGACGTCCCCTTGGTTCCAAAATGACCCCCCTGTGTCCTGTGTACAATCAAGGAAACGGGGCATTTGTCTTACCCGTAAAAATCAGTTTGTTGGAGTACATCACAGGACACGGCCCTCCCCTCTGTTTACTGTGATCTATTTTGTACCGCATACAGTCAATTTCCTACATTTCTATTTTGTTTTTGACTTTAACAGCCTTGTCCCTATTTACAGCGTTGCATTTTACAAACGCCATGCATTGATGTGTGTTCACATTACTGTATTTTGATGAGTGCTCCTTTGCCTTTTGTTGCGGAATACATAAAAATACTTGTTAAAACATGAAGGTGTGAATGCAGCCATATTGACAATGTTTCTACTTGTCATTGTTTTAGGATTGACTGATTTGCTGTAAAGTCAAAGCATTTTCAAATCTTGATGTAGCTTAGGGGACCATTCACACCATTGCTTGCTGTAACTCTCGTTAAATGTGTTCATGTGATGACATTAATTCTAAATGGCACCCCAATGCACCTTGCCAGCAGACGTGTGTTGCAGTGCTATGTGATGGGATGCCAGAACATAGTGCATGCATAAATGGCATCACACGTGGTATGGTGACACATGGCCTCTGGTGTGAATGAGCCCTTAACATGGGATTAACACAGAAGTTTTTTCTATTTAATTTGTTTTGGGTTTTTTTTGTAACTTGTTATCTTATGTTTCTGCTCCATACTTTACACCTCACATTCCTAAATATCATTTTATTTTCTTTTACACAAAAGAGTGGGAGTAACTGAAATAGAAATGAATTAGTGAATGCATTGATCCGTACCAGGTAATTGATCGCTTCGAGCTGAAACACAAATGACCATTCCTTTCTTTGTAATCCTTTCAGTGGGCACGCTGCATACGGCACTGCCGTGGACCTAATCCTTAATGAAACAGATGTGGGGGCCACTTACTTCATGACTTACCACACTATCCTGCACAGCTCCTCAGACTATATCGATGCTTTACGGAAAGCACGAATGATAGCAAAGAATATCACTGATGACATGGATGTCCCTGGCAAAAACTACAGTGTCTTTGCTTACAGGTATTTTCTAAGGCCGTTTAATTTACTTTAAAGGTGTAAGTAACAAGATAATTGTAGATATAAAGAAGGTCACAACACTTAGTTTAAGTACTTGTGTTTGGGTTTTTTTAATTGATGATTTCTTGCCATTTTACATGTTTGTGCTCCAGAATCCTTCCCCAGACCAACTCCTGTTTAGTATAAGTGGTAATAATTTTACCTTGCTGAAGATTAGGGATGTTGTTTTGGTGGAAAGCAGTATTTTGATGTCATGGAAAGTTGAATGATGCATTCTAGGAATAATCAGACTGTTGAAGGAGAACTATGGGGTAAGTGTTTTTCCCCATAGTTCTCCTAAGGGTCACGGGAGGACATAAACTAGCGTGCTTCCGCGACCCAAAGCTCGGCATACCGCGAGCTACAGCTTGCGGTATACTGAGACCGCCGCAGCCGGGACGGATCCCGACATTACTGTTGAGATCCACCCAGCTGCGTGATTGACAGCTGGCTCTGCCTATCTAGAGGCAGAGCCAGCTGTACCCGCCCGCTCCCCCGTCCGTTCCGCCAGTCATCGCTGGAGGGGTGGAATCCCCGCAGGGAGCTGTGAGTGACAGTCATGGCTCTCTGCAGGGACATGATCGAGAAGTGAGCGACCTGACGGTATGCGTTCGCTCACTTCCCGATCTACTGAGTGGACTTGTGACCGTTTCATTGTCACACGTCGGCTCGAACTATGAGGCTGAGTGAAAATCACTCACCTCATAGTTCTCCTTTTTAAGGGAGAGGAGTAAAATATTTTTGCCTTTTTAACATGTCCTTGAATAAATTGATTGACCACTTTATCTTTTTTTATGCTCCTTTTGCAGTGTTTTCTATGTGTTCTATGAACAGTACCTAACCATTGTGGATGACACGGTGTTCAATCTTAGCCTGTCTCTGGCTGCAATATTCTTTGTGACTGTCGTTCTGCTGGGTTTCGAGATCTGGTCTGCTATTCTGATGTGTCTCACCATCTCCATGATCCTTGTCAATATGTTTGGAGTCATGTGGCTCTGGAACATCAGCCTGAATGCTGTGTCTCTGGTGAATTTAGTCATTGTAAGTTCTTTTATAGTAGTTTTTTTTTTTTTTTAAAGATACAATCCTAACTAAACCTATTAACATGTATTTATAGTCAAAAACTTGTTTGAGTTGGATGGAGTAAGGAAGGGTGAATAATACTGTCAGGATTTTTGTTTTCTGTCTAAATGCCCTTGAGATTTCTTTTAACGTCTGTTGTAGAGTCACAGGAAGTGGGAGGAAAAACCTATCCAAAGTGAGAGGAAAGGCCCCTCTTGGACAGGTGCCCCCCGTTGGAGGATTTCCCTTCCCTTTCCCTTCAATGTTTTGGGGCCTGACAATGTCGCCTTCAGGAAGGGACCCTGTCGGGCCCTAAAATGTTGGTGGGCACTCAAGTCAGGATCAAAGTAAAATTGGTTTTATTTATAGCAAAATCACATGGGTCAGAAAACCCATGTGATTTTGCTATAAATAAAACCAATTTTTCACATGTCTAACCTGTGTGTAGTGTGTCATACCTGTCTGTTGTTTTCCCACCAATGCAACATACGTTACCATAACATTCTGGTGACATTTCTACTTGCAGTGTTGTGGCATTTCTGTGGAATTCTGCAGTCATGTGACCAGAGCCTTCTCGGTCAGCACAAAGGGAAGCCGAGCTCAGCGTGCACAGGATGCCTTAGCACACATGGGGAGTTCGGTAAGTCTGAAGATGAGCCGACAGCCATTATACTGTATATGTTCCTAGGTAACGTTTGATATCAAAACGCCAAAATACATTACTGCGCACAGCGACCTGCTTACATACACGCTGCTCATATTCGTGGATAGCAATTCCATTACAATGAATCATTTCACTCCTCTATACTGCTTACATTTAAGTGTATTTGAATTTAAAATTTCCCCGTGGGTTACATGGTTTAAACTGTCTCTGTACTTCATGTGGTGTCTTCATTGACTCGCTTGCATACACTTGTATACACTTTTTTTTTTTTGTATATAGTTACTGTAACATTTACATTGCATAACACCAATCTAACTGGAGGTGGGTTCCAATCAAAATGTAATATAACTTTTGCTTTGTCCCAGGTCTTCAGTGGAATCACTCTGACAAAGTTTGTGGGAATCGGCGTCTTGGGCTTGTCCAAGTCTCGGATATTCAAGATTTTCTACTTCAGGATGTACTTGTCTATGGTGCTTCTTGGAGCTGCTCATGGCCTAATATTTCTACCAGTTCTCCTTAGTTATATAGGTGAGTGTGGGAGTAAGGATGATGATGACTTGTAAAAGAGATACAGGGAAAGACTTAGCGAGTGATATATTCAGCCTTTTCTTCAGAGAACACTTATACTGCGTACTTTTCTTCATGGATAAGGCATTTCACACACCAGCCACAACTAGGTGTTTGTAATAGATACTCAAGAACTCATGAATCTAAAGAATGACTTGATCCATTGCAACAAAAAGTCAATATAAAATCATACAGGGCAAACCCAATGAATGCTGCTTATTTCTGGGTGTGTAGTTCTGTCTTGGGGACATCTGACTCTGTCTGAATAAATGAATGTGCCTTACACAGTCATGCATGGCTCTTTTTGCCTTGGGCAAGCAAGCAAGCCAAGCGACTTGCTCACATTCCTAATTATAGATATCAGCGCTATGTCACAAGAACGTTTTTTTCCTAAAGCCTTGCATCAACAAAGCCTGTGCAGCCATGCACTTGCAGCCCATACCCGCTGCTATTAGAGAGGGATTCTGTCTTGGCATTACTGAAGATATGTGCCTTACATCCCAGTGCGCCACCACAGCTCTTGTTTTCTGTGGTGAACAGAAGTGTCACTAAATGCTTAATTTTATGTGAACCCGTTTTTCACCAGGGTGTCAACAGACCAATGAGGGTTCACGTAGACGGGCTTTAGTATCGGAAACAAGCCACAATGCAGTACACAGTACAAGGGGAAAAGGCTTGCTTTTGAATTGCTTTGATGTGTTTCTGAGCTAAATATAATCGGCTTATTATGCGTGTCCGTTTCATTCCCCTTCAATTGTAATAGCAATTCAGACACAAGCTCATGCGTGCCTTAATACACAAGCCCCGAAGCATGCGGTGATCTCTTTATGTGCATGGCAGGTTTGGAATCAGTCAAAATAGCCATGCTCTGATGAATTTGACTGAATCCACTGCGCTGTGTATGCCGCCCC